CCCTGGGGCTCTGGCTGGGTTGATGTGTCACTAAAGTGCTATTTACCACTTCACTATTAATACACTGGGTGCAAACTATTGTGGAAATTGATTCCAGTGGGATCCCTATCCCCAGACTCTCAGTCCTGTTAACATCCTTGCCTGGCTCCATTGATGGATTTGAGATTCCTGGACAGGACAGATTCCCCCCACCCCCCCTTACCCTCACCCCAAACAAACTCCACAGGAAGATGTCACTAGAGCTCTTCCCTAACCCTAAGCAGGTGGAGTGGAGCTCAGATTTAAATAATTGTTGCCTAGGTTTCCAGTGTTGACCTCATTAGTCTCCAAGATGAGGATCCCTTGTTAGCAGAGCTGATATCCAGGGAATGCCCCCTCCCCTATGTTGCTAAGGCACCTAAACCAAAGGGACTTCTTATGTCTCCTCCCAGTTGCTCCTTTCTGCCTTTTGTTTTCCAAAATACATGTAGGGTGTTTTCTGGACCCCTGCACAACCCATCCCAGCACCCAGGCTGTGTGTGGACAAGGGGGCTGAGGGGTTTGCCACCCGGTATGGGCCCAGCCAGGAATGACTCTGTGACCCCTCGCCTCAGGAAGCTGCTGCCAAGGGGGGTTTCTGGTTTTGATGGAGCAGAGGGAGCTGGGGGAGGCCGGGCCTCATTTCGCTGCTCTTTGTTTGAACAGCTGGAGGGGGACGAGGAAGGGAGAGGATGGGCTGCTTGCTGTGGCTGATACTGTCTCCGTCCCGTTTCAGCTGAGATCAGGGTCGGTGGGGGAAGGTCCGACTGGTCCCAGCACAAGTTTCACTGGTTTTGAAGCTGCCTTCCTCACCTGGCCAGCTGAGCTCTCTGCTCTGGGCAAAGCGGCAATGGCAGAGCAGGCACGGGGGCGGGGGCGGTGGGGGGTGCCCTGAAGGCTGAACTCTGGAGTTAGCTGATCGTAGCACAGAGCACTTTGGCCGGGCTGAGAGGACTGCTGCCCACTCCGCTGGGCCACAAAGATCTAGTTCAGAGCATGCTGTGAGTCGGTACACGTCTCGTCCTGCCTCCAGGGACTCTTCCTCCGTACCAGCAGGTGGGTGTCAGAAGAGGCAGGGGATCAGGGCACTTTCGTCCCACGCAGGAACCCCGGTGCTGGCCTGCAGTGCTTGGATGGAGAATGAATGAACTAAAGTCTGTGCCTGTATTTTGGCTTTAGCTTCCCTGAGGGCTTAACGCTGCCTTTGGATGCTTGGCTTGTCTTTCTTTTTCTCTCCAAAATCTCATTCTGGGGGGTTCGGTAATGAGGAGATACAGCAGCTCCCACCCTGCAGAAGGAGCACATGGAGGGAGCTTTCCCTCGTGTGATTTCCTTGCTCTTAAGGGAAGATCCTCCACAGATGATGTGGTGCTTCCAAGAAAGATGCACCCGGTCCTGCCGAGTGCAGATTTGGGATGCCAGCTTGTCCCTTTGCACTGTCGAATGTGCTCCAACTACTGCGGTGGGGGCAGCTGTGACGTCGTTGTGTCACGGTGCTGCTCCATCAGGGTCCAGACACTGCTGCCAGTTACTCAGGCTCCTTTGTGTGGGCAGAAGAACTGCTTTGCTTGAGCTCTGCATTGCCTGGAGCACTGCCGCAGGTCACCAGGAGGCTCCCAGTGCCGCTGAGTGTTGCACTACTGCCACCTAATCCATGTATATTGTCCATAAGCACTTATGGCCTGATCCAAGGACCCCTGCCATCAGCAGAAGGACTCACTGGGCCTTCAGTGCATTTTGGATCTGGCCTTTGGTTCTCATCTAAGTTCATCTGTGCTCATTGCAACGCAAAGCTCTCATTCCCCATTGCTCTCCCCAGGGTGGCTCTTCCCCAGCAGTCCAGAACGCCCTGTGACTTGTGTCCCCCAAACAGCGCATCCCGTTTGCACACAGCCCCCTCATACAGTCTCGCCTCATTACTCCACCTGGGCTTTGCCATCCTTCCCATCTCTTCTTTCTGCTTCTGGGCACTGAGCATACACAGCACCTCATCCACTCCTTACTAAGCAATTGGTTCAAAGCAAGGTAATAGGATCTTTCCCCTGGCCAGCACTGAAGCCCGCAGTGTTGCAGGTTTGGTGCTGAGCATTAGAGTTTAAGGGAGTTCCTATGGACCAGAGTACATGTTGCCTTCTGGGGGGTTATTGTCCTGACAATTAGCATAACCCAGGGGTGGGCAAAATATGGCCTGCGGGCCATATCTGGCTCACCAGTAGGTCCTATCCAGCCCGCTGGCCACCACCGGGAGCCAGAGGAGGAGGGACTGTGCCCTACACTGCTCTGCTCGGCCAGATCCTGGACTGGGCTGTGCGTGCAGTGCACAGACTTCACTCCTGCCCCCCGCATACATTTCCCACCCCCAAGCCCAGCTTCCTGTTGGCACTGTGCAGTCCTGGTATGGACATCAGGACACCCCCCTGTCTAGCTTCCCATTGGCACTGTGCAGTCCTGGCACGGTGGTCACCAGCAGCCAAGTCCACCCAGGATGGGAAATAATGCAGTGGGCCAAGTAACCGTGTCGCTTGCCTGCCAGCTGTGATGAGCTGCTGCCACTATAGTGCCACTAGGAGGTGAGTCCATGCTGGCCATGGGGGTGGTATGGAGGCTTAGCCCAGTGCAGCTTGGCAGCCGCAGTTCATTGCAGTGGCAGGCAGGTGGGATGGCTACTCCATGCGTTGTATCATGCCCCATCCCATATGGGCTCAGCTGCCAGTGGCCACAGTGCCAGGACTACGTAGCGCCAACAGGAGGATGGGGGGCGTACAGGGCATGAAGGAGTCTGTGTGTTGTGCAGCCTGGCCCAGTCCCAGCTATGGCAAAATGAAGTGGCGTGTTGCCCTCAAGCTTTCAGTGGCAGCTGGCAGGCCAGACTGGATCAATTGGCATCTTTCTGGCCCTCAGCATCTCACCAAAACTTCTTAAGTGGCCCTTCAGCCCAAATAATTGCCCACCCCGGCATAACCCATAGGGCACAGCAAAGATGGAATGGCTTGGTTGGTTCATCCGCAAAGCCCAAGAAAATAGGAGGAATGGTCAGGAGATATGAGAAGGCAGTCCCCACCCCAGAGAAGGATACCAGTCCGTGACATCTCTCTGCACCTCCCTCCTCCCTTCTTAACGTCAGGCTCTCGCACCTCCTCGCAACGTCCCTCCCCACTCAGCAAAACAATAGTCACAGTAAGAAGTGGTAGGGCCCCCTTCCAGGAGCCTAGCTCTATAATGGGAGCTCATCTTAAATCTGGAAAATTTGAGGAATATGTATTTTAAATACACTGTTGTAAAAAAGTAATAAATGTTTAATTTTATTTTTATTAAATACTAAATTTATGATGGCTGACACTTTATTAAAGTGTCAAAGCGAGTGTTCCTACATTCTAATTACTTATTCTAACAAGGAGGCAGATTCTTCAGGAGCCGCACGAGCTGGCACGTGTGGATGAGGGGCACTCCCGTTAAGTAACACCTATTAAACTATCATTTGCACCTAGAGGCATCTCATTAATATCTCAACTGGTGAGATCGCACTGCCTGTGCCTACCTGACCTGGGGCGTTGACAGAAGAAATGGCTCCAGGATGCCATTCCTCTCTCCAGGCTCCCCTGTACAAATAATTCCTATAAAATTAATAATGACTATTCCACTTAATTGAATTCCTGATAAATGAAGGTTCTTCCAGCCCTCTGTTAAATGCATCCCAATGCTTCAGGGTGTGCTGTGCCAATGTCTGGAGAAATCTCCTCTGTCTCTCCCTTTGTCTCTTGCTCCATCCCTCTTGGCCTTCTCTCCTCTTTCTCCATCAGCTTCCCCATCTGTCTCTCCCATTGCCACCCTCAGGTCATTCTTTTCTCCATCTCACGTTTCTTTTTACCTTTCTTCTCAATCCAACTTTGCTACGTCATTCCTTCTCCTCCAGCCCTCCCATCTGGGTTTGCGTAAGGGCCTGTGAAGAAGTTACTATGAGATAAACTAGGATGTGAACTCGCAGCATATCAGCCTCTCTCTGGTAACTGTGCTTACCCACAAGGAAAGAGGGGTGAGCTACCTTGCATTTCCCATGGAGAAGGAGCATCCACATGAGAAATTATTGTGGAGTAGCGTATGTGCTGCAAGTTCTCACCTATTTTACCTCACAGGAATTTATTCATGTGCCCATATCCTTCCTCTAATCCTCCCTCTTTCTCTGTCCTCTTTTGTCTCCTCCTTGCTCTCCGAATCACTCTGTATCCCATCGCTTTTATTTTCCTCATCCTACCTTGATAGTCTGTGCTGTGCTTCTGCTAAGTCCGTCTCTTCTCCCATCTTCCTTCTCCATATGCCAGCTCCCCTACCCGTTTCTCCCCATATCTCACCACCATCAACCATTTTTCTCGTGCGTCATTGAAGGCTCCTTGCTCTTGTCTACAGAAGACAGGAGTACCGCCTGAAGAACAAGAAGCACGCTAGGGGCTGGCCTACGACAGTTCTTAGGGGAGGATTTAATACTGACTCATAAGGGCTATTATCCATCCTCCCCCAAAGTGAGGAACAAATTAGTGGCACAAAAACATACCAGCCTTATCATCACATTCTTTCCCAGTGCTCTCCTTGATTCAGTTCACAGAGATGAGAAAAGGAGGGGTGTCCCACTCTCTGGACCCCCCCAAACATTTCCTGTGCTGCATCTTCCAACAGAGGAAGACTGGCTTTTGTCATGCATGGCCTTCCAGAGGCAAAGCCTTCGGAAGAGAACAGAATACCACTACTTTATATGGACTCCAAATCAGTGCAAAGCAACAGCATAGCTATCTCTGGGGTATGGTGCATGGAAAAGGCGTAGCATTACTGCTCTTGGTGGGGTGGAATATTTCAGTATCTATGGAGAGTTGGAGAGGCATGTCCTGGCTGCTCCTGGGAGGATGTATTTACAGCTTTGTATGCTAAGCCATTACGTGGGGTGCCAAGCCATAACCCAGGAGGTCATGGGGTTCTTCAAAGAATACTCTGGAGCCTGGGATTTTTTTTCCTGAGCTGTGGGGTTGTCTTGATATCAGCTCCTTTGTGGTGAAGATGTCCTTTTTTGCTGCTACCTCATACAATTCAAATGACAGTATTGGTTTTGGGGGTTTTTTGGTTGGCTTTTTTTTTTTTTTTTTGCTCTCCTTGAATACACATAAAAGCACCCACTAAAAATTCCATTCTATTTTTATTTCATTCCAATTAGAAAAGCAAACTAGAAACTATGCTTAATATTAAAAACGCAGACTCGCGATTCAAAGCGAGGAACTTAAAAATAAATAAATACATAATGGGAAAATATCATTAAATAACACATGAATAACAAGTAATGGGATTTTAATCTTCTTGCAAGTGGAGGCTACTCTTTCTGCACTAAAGGTGACTCGCAAACAACATCACTCCAGGAAAGTTAAAAGAGAGAAATCGGTAATGCTCAAGGATTGCGTAGGACTCAAAGGGGAATGAGGCAGCCTCGTGGGGAGCTGTCTTTCCACTAACTCCTAGTGAGGAGTGAAGCTGAAAAAGTGGCAAATTCAAAGCTGATAAAAGGAAACACAATATTCACATAATGCCCAATTGGCCTGTGGAAGGCAGTACCACAGGATATCTTTGAGACTCCGAGCCGAGCAGGATTCAAAAGGAGATTCAGCATTTGTAGGGCTAGCAGTATTCAGAATGATAAGAGTAAATACTTCAAACAAACATAGACACCTCCAAGGATTTTTCTGGCAACGATCTCAAGCATTGTATGCTGGGATTAAGCCAGTCTCTAGTGGTTGCAGGGTTAGAGGAGAGCATTCTTCAGGGGTGAGTGACCCTAAAGCTGTGGCCACAGGGGTTGTTTTTTTTGCACCTTTCACTGAACAGCCTATTAGGGAAGGGATTTGTGGACGTGCCAGTCAGGTAAGTCCTAGGGAATTGTTCATGCTTTATAAGACACTGGGAAACCATTCCTGCATCAACCACTAGAGAAGACTGTTGTGAGCTATTGCATTATAGGATAGATACCCAAGGGGGGTTGTAAGGGTCCCAAAGGTGCAGTGACAGACATCTCTTCATCTCTAATGTTGCATCTACATTTTGGTGAGGAGGTTAGGAAGCCCTGGCCTGTCACTGGAGCTACAGCATTGATCCAGTGGACCTTTCTCTGTGGAGATACTAAAGCCTCATCACTGTCAAGAGACTTCTGCCTCCATGTGCTTTGATGCAGGACGTGACCGTCATTGGTCATCTGTTCTTCTCTGCTGGAAGCTCAGTTCTTGCAACGTCCGGTCCAATGCAAATAGAAAGTTGCCCATCTTGGCTCATGTACCTTTAGGTCCTGTAATGAGCTGACCTGTGCGAGAGGATCCTGCCCCCTCCGCCAAGCTCCAGAAGTTGTTACGCTGTGTCTAGAGCCACGGAGGAGCTGTCCAACGGAGAATGCCTCCTGAAGAAGAAACGTGTCCTGTGTATCGGAAAGAGCTCTCTCTCCTTGCTGGAAGCCCCAGCCTCCCTCGTGGCAGCGCCTGGTAAGTGGACCTTTTCTTCCCTTGACTTGACTGCTGCGTCCAAAGCTTTGTGCTCTTATTTTAGTAACCAAATGGGTGGTACATCTCCCATCAAGCACTTTGCTGGCATCTGCTATGGTGGCGATTGCCATACTGAAGTGGGAAAGAGGGGGGCGGTGAGATGGAAGAGAAGAGGAAAGATCTAAAGGTGATGGTGGTGGGAGAGAGGAGGAAGGGGGGAAAAGAGAGACAAGGCCAGGAAAGGTGGAAAAACACAGAAGTATGGAACAAGAGACAAGGAGGAAGGAGAAGAAAGGTAAGATATGGAGAGAGAGATGTTTCCACGTGCAGAATATTAAGGGGAGTTATTCAAAGTCACAGACAGTGGGTATGTGACCAGCTCTTATTGAAAGCCAATGGGAAAATCCCCCACCATGTCTCAAGCAAAGAAAGTAAATTCTCTAGAGTAATATGACGTTTAGATTCTGAGTTGATGGATGGGATATAAAACCAGGAAGGACAGATGGAGGATATTAGCTATGAGGAAGAGTTAAGGGAAATGGGCTTGTTATCAGAATACAGAAAACTTTGATGGGAGACTAAGAAAGGTTTACAGAACCATTAACGGGGCTGATAAAATCACTTGGCCGGGATGTATTTTTCACACTTTGTTCCAAGGTAGGAGACATAATCTTAAACTGCGGAAGCTTGAAGACACATGCACATGCCAGCACTTCTGCTGAGGGTGCTGAGAGGGAAGAAACATGTGGCAGAGTCAGTAGTTTAATTAAGGAACAATAGGCCAAATTCTGCCCTCTGTTATCACAGTGCAATTATGCCCACCCCTAGCATGGATATAGTTTAAACCTGGATAGGACCTAACTTATATATTTCACTTTTGCTTCCTCCCTTGATTTTAATTGAGCTTATCATGCATCTTTAAATCATTTTCATTACCTAGGTGTCACTGTTTTTTGCTCTGGTTTGTTAGGGAAGCATTTACATTTCTTTGCTTAGCAATCTATTATTTCTGATCCCTTTTATATGGGACAGGAACAATGCTGCTGCCTCAGTTTGAAAGCAGACTTGTGGCCCTCGGGGCCAGATGGGCAGTGTTCACAGTTCTGTCCTTGAAGTGCATTGCTGAGGGGCAATGATGTTGCGTTACTGTCTTCAAATTAGGTGGAGGAGGCTGCTACTTTTCATTGGAGAGGCTATGTCATTGCTCTTCCTCTTGACTCTCAGTCAAGAGTAAGAGTTCTGCCTGTGGAAGATGCAGGAGCAAGGTGAGAATTTGCCCCTCTGGGGTCAGTCCTGTTTCTCTGGTTGGATAGGGTATGGATGCTCTTCCTTCCTTCAGTGAGAGGTCTGTGCTGCTGTTCTGTTACTCCAAGAGTCCTGACTCTTACTGCACGATGCAAGTGCTGGCATTGTCGTTCTACTGACTTGGCATCAGTGTGTCCAACGTGGGCAGCGATCCCATGGCAGCATATAACTTACGGACTTTACCATTTATTAGGAGTCAGGTTTACTAAACCAATTCATATTTCTCTAATGACAGAGGCAGGGCCCGATGTGTAGCTGGGTGTGTGTTCCCTGCTCAAGTCGGAGGGCAGCTGTGTTTCTCCAGTGGCTGTGAATGGGGTAGGGCTACATCTGGCACAGCAGATCCTTGGTGAAGTCGGAGATGCAACTGCCTGGGTTCAAGAGGAGTATATTTGTTAGGAATGAGAAGGAAGCCTGTAATTGAGAAACCCATCTGCATTTATTCAAAAACCTCTTATTCCCTTGCTGTGGCAGCCCAGCTCAGCCCTACCCCTTCATCTCTCCTGAGCAGTCGCTTTGACTCAGAAAGGCTTGGGTGCAGATTTCAAGGGATACTCGGACAAATGCTATTGGAACAGGACTTGAGAAGATAATCCATAAGAAACTCTTTGATGACTTCACTGATATTTTCCCTGAAATTGCCTCATTTTTCTTTTCCTTCAGAGGTGGAAAGAAGTGGAAGTAGGGAAAAGGGAGGAGAGAGAGGAGGGGATGGAGAGAAAGGAGAAGTCTTAGGATTTTTTTTCTCTCTGCCAACTTCTCTGGAAGTCAAGGAGGAGCTTGGCTTAAAACATCTCTTTGTTGTTTTCACAGCTTTAGGAATAATCTCATACAGTACCTCCTTGTCCTCTAACTTCCCCATACGTTACAGATAAGGGGACATTTTTATATTTAACTGAGCAAGGATAATGTTCTGCCAATTAATTATTAGCCGTATGCTTTCAATGTTCACTTGCTGTACATACGTTGAGTAGATATGAGTCCCACTTCAGCATGTCATTTAGTTTACATTAAAATGGAGGTAATTGCTTTGATTCCAAATGATTTGTCTGTGTTTCTCTTTGTACATTTATACAAATTGCATCGTTAAATGAGAGGAACAAAAAAAAAAATCCTTTGTTGGATTTCTTTTAGTGCCATCTAGAATTTAATCCTCTTCCACCACTCAGGACCTCTAAGGCTAGCCTGGACGAAGCACAGCAATGCACTGGAGAAAAGGCTTCCACGCTGACCAGTGCAAACGTCAGAGCTAAGGGTAACACAAAAGGTCTTCTCCTTCTCTTATTTCTGCCATGACTCTCAGGCCTCTTAGAAGTGGTCTGCATCTTCCTCGTCTATGTGACAGCCGGGATCTAGGTCTGGGAAGCTGAGCTTGTTGGATGATGGTAACGAAAGGTCTCTCTAGAGTACGTAGGAAGTTCTCCCTCCGCTGTCCAGGAGGTGGAGCAGTTTTTCTGCTCTGGCCTCTGCTTACCATGCCCCTAACGAGCCAGTCTGTCTGAACTCGGAATGAATTTTGTTCTCTTTTCATCACTCTCTGATGTCCAGCTGCTCCTGTCAACACCTTCTTATAGCATGTAATTCATCGCTCAGACTGACAGCTGGGGCCGTGGGCCTGGGACCAGCTTCTCCTGCCATTGGCTGCACCCAGAGAGGGTCCCTGGCCTAAATAAGGGGCTTCCCTCATCCTCACTCTTGCACCTGAGGCTAATAAACTCTCCAAAGGATTCTCCAGAAGCAGAACAGAGAGCAGCCCTGTTATCTCCATCTCTTTCCTGCTCTCGCTGGAAAAACTTTATTAGCGGTACTGAAATGGTTCTTCTGTGGTCATAGCTTCTTTTTTTTTTTTTAAGCTTTCCCTGGAGCACAGATGAAAAGCATTTATGCAGGGCAAGGAATGGCTTTTAAGGCATTTTGTAAAGCACAGCTGGGTATGATCAGATAGTCTTATTAGGAGCAGGGTATGCACCAGACCCAGGATGGGGGCTGGCTGGGTGACGTATGGGGCTAGGCATGGAAGAAAGAGGCTGCCCCTAGCAATGCAGTGAGTAATTCCTCACAAAGTGCTGTGAATGTGGGGCTCAGGGCCTTGGTCTTTTTGTTCCAGGGCTCCTGCTTGCTTGGATCCTTGGCCAAAGGGAGAAGTAGGCTTGTTTTAGAATCGGTGCTATTGGTCATGAGAAGAGAGAGCAGAGCCTTCTTCCTGTCCTTCAGCGAGGCGCCATCAGAAACTTGCAATCACGGGCAACAGAGTTCGCTGGCTTCTTAAAAAAAATATGCAGCTCCCCAAAAACAGATCCAGTGGTGTGTCTAAATCCTCTGGGATCCCCAGCCTGGATTCCCTCTTCCCTTCCTGTCCCATTGGCCTACCAGTCACTTCTTAATAATTATCCTGTTAATGCCATTGCTTCTACCTATAATTCTTTGCTCATACCTTCCTTTCTTCCTTCCTGTAATTTATTCTTTTTCACCCATTCCTCTGCTTCATTTATAATTCTTCATTATTTTATTACTTTGCATAATTTTCCTTTAGGATTTGTCATAAAATACATGTTACCATTTCTGTTACTGAGGGCGAATCTGCAAAGCTGATGCTTGCAGCACTTCCAGTAAGGTTTGGCTGTATCTCCCCCTCTTCCTACAAGCCCCCTGAGGACTATGCAGGGATTTGAAGCACATAAGATGTGAGATACCCACCCCCACTTTCATTCTTTTGCAAGATGGGATTTTAGGCAGAAGGTTCCAACATTGAGGGGAACTAGAAGTATACCATAGTCCATTGTGCACGGGGCGGGGAGAATAGCATGCAAATAGTGACTAGTAAACAAAGCAGTCGGTAGGCTCAGTGGGATGCTCTTTGATTTGGCCTGTGAACAGGGCGATAAAGCTGGAAGGAACAGATGTGTAGAAAGTAGAGGTCGAAAAGAGGTGCGCCGCACCCCACCTAACTCAAGATCGCTCCCCATGCAATATTACAAGTGCTTTGTTGAGGTAGGTTGTAAAAGTCTCCAGCCACTGGGGATGCCACCAGTTCCCTTGGGCAACAGAGGGCCAACAGCATTGACTCCAGCACAGACAGGCAGTGTTTACATTGCCTGCACCCCCGGGGGGGTTGCCCTAAGTGAGGATAGGCGGTGACACCATGGTGAGCCTGCCTCCGGGGTTTGGAGGGAATTCCCTTGACTTGGTCTACCCCTGTCTGAAGCTTTCTGCCTGTGATTTCCAGACGATAGTCCGGGTACATAGCTGACAACGTCCTCTCTAGCTAATGGACTTCTCCAGACATTTGGCCAGGATCTGGAGAGGATACACTGATTCTAGCAGCACTGTTCAAAACTAACCATTTACTTGTGCTACATCGGGGGAGTCGGATGTATTTGCCAGAGTTTGCAAAACTGACACTTAGATAGGCTTTACTAACCCTATCTGTATTCTTGCTCCGAATGTTTGATGCCACTTTGCTGTGGGCACAATCGGGAGCCTCTCTGGCACTGGGCTGACAGCACTGTTTGGGATGTGAAGAGTGTTTGGGGGAAAGGTTCTGTATACGTACTTACAACCTTCATCACTGGCATATTGGTTCATCTCACAGTCTTCAATATATTTACCTTCATAACTACCCTGGGAGGTAGGGAGGTACTCATCGCCCCTAGGAGGGTTAGGTCACTTGTAAACTAGGGCCCACAGTCTCAGTGGTATTTAGACTTCTAGCTCCCATTACAATTAGGCACCCAAAAGTATTAGGTTGTTTTAATGGGAGTTACATCTCTAAACTCCTTTGAGGATGTGTGCCTCAGTGACCTGTCACACAGGGAGCCCACGGCAGAGAACAGAACAGATCTGAGTCTCTAAGCCTCACAATCTCCGGTCCCTCTCCCTTATTTTATTTGAGATTGTAGGATTTGGTATGGGTGATAGCATGGCTTTGGAGCCAAATCTATTGTCCTTCCTGCTCCCTCACCCAACTTTTGTGAGGGGGTCATCCTAATGCTGCTGTCGCAGCAGCCCTAAGGAGCTTGTCACTATGTGGAACAGGATGACTTTGGGATATCTGGTTAAATTCCCTCTCTGGGAAGGCTTCTGACTCACCTTGTTGTAATTCCCTTCTTCTCTTCCTGGGGAAGGACTGCAGATGTGAAACTGCTCGCCACAAAAGATTGTCGTCTCCATTTGGTAATTACTTCCCCAACCTATGTGGAGACATGCTGATGGAAAGAAGACAAAGGGATGCTTTTGGGAAGAGCAGGGGGGTGGGATTATTTTCCTGTTATCTCAAAGGTGGCATAAGGTAAAGCAAGCGGATGGCTAAGAGGAGCTTACCTGAGTCTGAATATAGCTCATCCACTGAAAAAAATAAGAAGAGATTCCTGTGGGAGATGGTGGCTCTCCAATTACTCCATGAAGCACTACTATTAAGGCACCTGAAAAGAAAATGCCGTATATATTCAACAGACCAAGAATTTGGAGGTTACATCTATGGAGGAGAAGGTTAATATTTCCATAGTTTTACTGTTATCTGGAGTTGAGGGGCTTAGTGCAGCTCTAGGAACCCAGATTTAAAAAAACACCATGTTGCATAGACATATGGAACGGCTGGAAAAATAATTTACAAAGCTGTGCTCGGTGCCCCAGGGAATTCCTCTTGGGCAGGGAAACCGAAAGCGAGAAGTCACACTGGAGGCAGCGGTAGAACTTTTTATACAAAGATGAAATTCTGAGTTTCTGTCTTATATCCTGGATATGAAACAAAAATAGTGCTGTCTCTTTGATTATAGTCCTCTGTTTGGATGCATAGGGAGGACCCTGTACAATTATGCTTGTGGCTAAGGCTCAGCCTCATTTCTGGATGAGTTCTGATAGAAGCAGGTACCGTAGGTATTTATGGCCAAATATGTTCTTAAACGAGGGAGCCCTGAAAGAATGAAATGGAAACAGATATGAAGAACAGTTCTGTGCCAAATGTTTGCAACAGCAACCCAAACTGCAAGCATGTCACTTGGTTTTGGCTTTCATAGCAAATTTGAAATTTAGGTCAGGTCTGCTGATGTCCGTAGACCTTTGAGGAATCCTGGACCTAGTTTGGAGTGAACCTGGCCCAAATGATGGGTGCGTGACCGCCACATGGTTTCACCTGAAGTTGCCTGGGACTTTTTTAGCTTCCATTGAACCTGACATCCAAAGCAAAGCCTGAGCGATATTTGTAGATCGGAGTAGAAAACATGTTCTCTCAGTCCTCTGCATGGGCTTCACCCCACAAACATGTTTTTCCTAATATGGAGAATATGGAATTTGATTTGGGTTTGACACTGATTCCTCTCCCCTTCCCCCCATGTGCTGCCACAACAGTTCAGATCAACCAGGGCGCTCAAGTGAGCACAGCCTAGATTTAATCATCTGAGGGCTGGTGGCCAAGAAGGAGGGACCTCTCATCTGGGTTTCAGTTTTACCTTTGCCCTGGCAGAGCGTGGCTCAGTTAACCATTAGAGTTCAGTGTAAGAACCATCATTGCTCTATGGATTTTGCCTGTGAGGGGTGTGATGTGAGTTGAAATGTCAATAGTTAGGGGAAAGATTGGGGGGTTTTTCCACATAGTTTTTGACTGTGCAGACTGAGCCAAGACAATCTCTGCTGCTGCTCCAGTGACATCAGGGGACATATACCCAGGATGAAGTTGGCCCATTATTGCTTTTTTTTTAAAATTCATCTTTCAGATTTCATTATAGAAACCTGAGGTTTCTATAATGAGGCACATTTTACAAACTAAAAACAAAATTAATACGGTCCCCCCCCAACTCAGAGCAGTCAACCTAGACTCGACACCATAAACTGAGTTCCTCTAGACTGGAATGTATTCAAATTAAAGCGGATGTTGCATTATTACAGCCCTTCGAAACTCCAGTTAATTTATGGTAGTGTAAAATCCATTTTTTTTAATGACTGTGACACTGCCAAAATCTTTGCAGATGCAGAAACAGCTTCACGGGAAAATTTCAATCTAACATCAACAGGAGATTTGGAAGATGAATTGTACAAGCTTCTCCTTCCACCAAAGATGCTGCTTTGTTTTGCTTTTTAGCATTTGGCTTGGCTCTAATATTGTCTGTTTTATGATGTTTTAATTATTGTTGTTTATTTATTATAATCATATTTTAATTGTTTGTGTGCTGCCTCAAGTGCCTTGGCAGGGGGCACATTATAAATTAAATTATTATTAAAAAGTTATTATTATGTGTACCTACTCCAAACTGAGACTGAGCGGGGAACACACTCAGTTGCCTGGAATTAATTTCCCCTTTTTCTTTCCCTTTTTCTTGCCTGTCTCTCCACTTGGGCTTGTAGTTTAGACAGTTAGAAAATGAGGCTGAAAGCTGTTCCAGTGCCCACTCTTGTGTCTAAGGGGATGGGCTTTTTGCAGTTGGCTTGTGTGGGAGCCTGATTCAGTCCTGAGTGGATGCCCTGGGTGTAGTTAGTGAAGTAGGTAGCATGCTATGAAGATTAGACAGGAAATTAAAAAAAAAAAAAAAAAAAGCCCTTCCATAATCTCTCCCCACCCTCTTAAAAAGGAGGCAGTTTGTAGAGCTCAGTTGGTATTTTTTGCCGTGTAAAGTATAGTGTAAGTATCAGCTAAAGACTGACTAATGTGACTTACTCTAGAAATGATGAGGCAGGCACTTCTCCGTATTTACTTGCCAGGCTGTTCTGAAGCAGGCCGGCGCGTTGCAGGTCCTGGTGGCCATCTGGCCACTGAGAAAAGCACTCTGGCCCTTGCAGTGGTGCATCACTTGTCAGCAGACTTCCAGGAAGTGCGGCAAGAGATATGTTAATTATCTATCAACTAAAGATGCCTTTCCATCAAAGTAATCTCTGGCTGGGGGTACCTGTTGGTCTTCCAGACCATAGCAATGAGTTTGGCCTTTGGACTCCATTTGCTCCCACACAAGGTAGATGCCATGGCACACCCCACTTCTGCTTTAACACCCTGAGGACGTCCTCTGCTAGTGGGAAATGCCAGTTCTTTCACAGGCAAAATATCATCCCCAGATTCCTCACTAAATGCATCACCTGCCTGCTGTCCTAAGCCATCAATGCCAGTCAGCAAAGTAGGTTGAAAAAATTGCTCCTTGGTCCCTGCTGGGCCAAAAGGACTTTGGGTTGCATCTCACACTGCAACGCAGCAGCACCTGTTTAGGAGCAGAAGTGGAGGTAAAGCTAGTTTAGCTCTCCGCTGTCTTAGCACTCTCACCCAATATTTTTCATTTATTCACTTGCTGCTTCTCTCTGGGACCAGAATCGGATGTTTCAAAATTCCCAGTTCTCCCTGAGTGCCGGCATAGGTAGAAAGAGAAAGCCTGTTCTTGTGAAATTTCTGGCCCAGGTTTTCCGATCTTAGACTTTGGCTACTTCAGATTACCATCTAGGCTTTTGGGAATGTGTTTGAATTGCACCTCTCTGAACATAAGGCTGTTTACCCATCATTGGCCATGAGACCTTGCTCAGCTGTTGCTTACAGGGCTCAGGAGCTGATTAATCTGGTGCCATGGAGATAACAGAATTTCCCTACCACCCAGGGGTGTTGCAAGGATAAATCTATTACAGATTGTGAGGTGTTCAGATACAATGGTGATGGGGGCTGTATAAATACCTTAGCTGGATAGATTAGAGATGACACAGAAGCTGTAGTTGCATCAGTCATCAGGTTGCTAGGATGCATCAGGAGAGATGTCATACAGGCATCTCTGCACTTATGAGCTGGTGGCAAACTTCACACTTTCACCTCTCCTAACAAGGCAGAGTATTTTATCTCTCGGTCCCTTCTATACTGTTATTGTAGCTAAACCTATAGGGACCTTTCATTCAGATCCACTTACTCACTTAGGCTCCCTTGTTTAGCTCTGTGTTATGGAACAGAGGGATTACCCCAGCAACAGTGCGTTTCAGTCATTTTTATTCCTGTTGTATAGGAATAGAATTAAAAAATAGCATTTGCGGGTTTCTATAGCCCTCTTCACCTTCTCAACCCAACAGGCCTGCAGGCTGGTTAGATCCTGAATACCTTCCTTTGGGCAAAGCAGTCTCTACTGTCAGTAGGACAACAGAGGTGAGGCTTGGGCACTAGAAGCAGAAAAGGAAATGAATATTCCAGCTTGTGTCTAAAAACATGGGCGAGTCCCCAGTATACTGCTGGCATCCTAGGCCAGTCCTCGGGAGGAGGCTTGTTTATCCTATACTCGCTTCCTGGGGGCTACTTTCCCCTCTTTTGGACTCTGTTTAGTGGGGGCAGGCATTCATGTGAATGCATTTCATTCTTGTTAATGCATCATCGTTATTACTGCCACTGCTGCTCCTTAGATGTCTTGCTTCTGCTTCTCATGTTGCAATTTCAGACTGGCGTCTGGAATTTGTTACAGATCTTTGCATCCATCCCTGTCCCTCGGGCTGTTATTTTCTCCCTACCTCCTAGCCTCCATCCAGGCATTTTGCTGTCATTTATTGTCCGTTCCCCAGCCCCTCCTACCAGAGAGGTACACTGGGTTAGTTTTTTTTTCCCTTGCTCCTCTTAAGGTCCCCTCTTGAGCCATTCCTCCTTCCTCATGCTGACTTCCATTGGCATGGAGCTGAGGCAAAACAGATGAATGTTAGGGATGTTTCACATTAAAACGATCATTGTTTATGGGTCTGGAGTACTAGTTCCACGCAGAGTCCGAGGGGGGTCTGCTCCTAAACTCCACACTTGATTTTGGAAGTCCTAACACGACTTTCATGCCAGCGTAAGTCAGGAGTTATTGAAGGAGTTTGTGGAGCTGCCCCTCTTGTGAAACTCCCAGTGGGACTTCAACACTACAAGTCTGAAGCTCCCTCGGAGAAGGGCCTTTTTTGGGGTGGGGAACTGACACCAAATTCTTCTTTTTTATCTTCTGACCCACAAATGTGGAATTTTATCACAGCCCAACTTAGGTAACATTCTGCCTTGACTTCCTTAAGCATTCATGTCACAAGAAGGGATAGGTCAGGGGTGGGCAAAATGCGGCCCGCGGGCCGGATGTGGACCACCAGGTCATTCTATCTGGCCTGTGGGGCCCCTAAAAAATTTAGAAAATTAGTATTTATCTCCCCCCCACAAATAATTGCCAACCCCTGGAAGGGCCAATGGCTCATAACTGTTCAGGGCTGGGAAATGGTGGTTGACACAGTGACCCCCTTCAATAAAGAGACCCGAGGAAGAATATGTCTTACATTTGAGAGCGTGTCTAACTTTATTCCAACCATGCAGTGAGTCCAACAAAAGAAATCACCCCCCCAAAATTTGTCCCTTCAGTAAAGCTCCTCAGAATTGAAATGAGAGCAGAATGTTATCTACAGAGTGTAATAATAGTCATTAACAGTGGTCAAGTAAAATAAGATTAACTCTTTTGAAAAACATGCTTTAGCTAGTGTTTTTTTTCTAGCTAGTTATTAAATCACCTTGCCATGTCCGCACAGATTGGAGCACACTGGGCTGACACACAGTGGGGTGTAGTTTTCCATTTTGTTGATGGGGCCAGTGATGGCCAGCCCAGTAACTGAGGGCAGGTACTTTTATGCTCACTCCATGCTACAGCTTTCAACTGTGTTTTCCCCAAACCATGAGGGGTGACGTGGGTGTAACAGCCTTTGACATGGCTGTGTGCTTGTATGTGAGCATATGCATGCGCATGGCCTAGCTGTGCTGCATGATGAAAAAAATAAAATCTGTGTTCACACTGGATACTGAAGTGGGGCTGAAAGCATGCCGGATACAGATATGACATTCCCCATGTAGACAGGTCCTTAGTGTATCTCTTTTCAGGCAGAAAACCCCTTGTGGCTGAAGATAACAAATGTGTCTTCTTGCCTTTGAGTAGCATGGCCCTGATGTGGGCATGGCCTGGCATTTAAAGGGTTAAGGAGGCTGTGTCCTTGGTGGCATGCAATTTATGATCCTGTGAATCCTTTTTTAATTATTTTGCTGTGACAGAGGTGGAAATATCCAACTTCAAACGACTGGCTTTATTGATATGCTGCTATTTGTGCCTCTGTGGAGGAACAATCCCATAAAAGCAATAAATTAGAAAACCCCTTTTTCTCATCAGAGAGAGACACTTGCTATCTATGTTTCTGTGCAAGGTCTGGTGTACAGGCACTTCAGCACCACAAAGAGGCTCTGTGACTCTCTGAGCGGTTGCGAAAAGTCCTTCATCGCTCACTACCCAGGAGCTACTACTTCTTCCAAAGACCTTTGTGTAAAACACCCCCACCACGAAGGCTTGGCTTTCTCAGAGCTGGGCCTCTCCAGGACTGGGCCAAAAGGTTGCTTGCATTAAATACGGTGGCTGGCTGTAGAGGATTTATTTTATCTGCAAGAATTAACATTGGGTATCTTTGCTTATGGTTGGGGATGACCACTTTTCAGCACAGGAAAAGTAATGAAACCCATCCCCTGTGAGTCTGGACAAAAATGAACAATCCATCATGGTGATTTTTAAATGTAAATGTTTACCTACCTGTTTCTGACAGAGAAGCACAAATCTGGTCATCTGAGTACAGTGACGTGCATGCAGAAGCTTACCCAAAAAACCCTGGGCATTTGTGCTTTCAGCCAAATTCAAACTTATGTTCAACTATTGTATGTTTGTTCAGATTCAGTGCTAATTCAGACCCTGTGCTGCCCCTTTGTGGAGAGCGCTTCAGGTTTGGATCACATACTGCACAAAACCGCCTTTGCCTCCTTCCAACTCTAAACATAGGAGAGAGGCAGACGTGCTGAGACCATACAACTCTGGGGGAAGCCAATGAAACTAGTTAGTGCTCAGCGCCGCTGGACTCGCACCCACACAGTAGCAGGAGCTCTAATTCATCAGTGAGTGACAGTACTGCTGACCTATTCTGAGGCCAAACCTTCAGGAATTAAGTAACGGACCACCTGTATAAGCAAGGGCTGTGCGACTCTGCTCTGGTGTGTAAGTTCTTTCTCTCTCATGCTGTTTAAGCAGCACTTGCTTGGAATGGGATACTTGCATGGACACATTAAGCAAAGTTTAGGTTGCGACGAAAACTGGCAAGG